TAAAGGGTACCAGAGGAAAAAAGAAAGCTGATTTATTCTAAGGGCACTTGGTATCAACAAAAATAGCACGCAATGGTACAGAAGATCAGCTGTGAATACATGAGTGTTAGCATCGTGTCTCTGCTGTATCTGCAAGTGAAAATGTTTATTAATTAGAAGATAAATAATCTCTGACAGATATTTCACCTGCAAAAGAAATCCTGCAAAAAAAAAAAAAAGTTTGTTATTACACAAATAGAAATAAAACTGTAAGGTTCCAAAGTCAGCCCGACAGGTACTAGGAAAAAAATACAACGCATATTAAAAACCACTAGACGCACACTAAGAAAATCCTGAGCCACCAAATGAAGATAACATTAATACAGCAGAGCTTTAAACTGTGATCTTCCAAGTGACTACACACATTTCAATACAGCCACTTTTAACCGTGCACAAGTTCTTCTACAAAAACATTCATAAACTGTAATAATTTTTGAAGTTATTTAAATGGTAAAAATCTCTTAACCTGAGCACTGTTACACTGAATAAAAGCAATGTCACCTGTTGAGAAACTGTATATATAAAGCCCATTTCAAGTTAGTTAGAAAAATCAGTGCATCCAACCAAGAAGTGAGAAAGCAACACAGGCACCTAAAAGCCCCAGTGAGGTTAACTTTGCCCTTGAGGTTTTCCTTAGTGCAATAAGGACCATACTTTCCACCAAAATAAGCACAGAAGTAGAAAACAGCGGTGTTTTTTCTCATTTTTTTTTAAAAAAACAAAACAAAAACCAACCCTGCAAAAAGCAGTGTTATATAGGACAAAATGATCCTTCCCAACCATATAATACCAGAAGTTGGTATACGTAAGGATCCAATATGAATCAGTGTTTTTGTACACAAGACCCTGGGCTCATGTGGGTAATAAAGTCATCTCCATGATTAAAAATTAGGTTACAAAAAAACCTTACACAAAATCCTTAGGATTTGATCGTAATTGAAGATATTTTCAAGTATAATGTTTATGAATTAATTAAGAGGTTAAGGCACGATTTAAGGTAACATTGAAACAAAAGCCCTATGTTACCCTAAAGGACCTTTATAAACCACGTAGCTTTCTGTAACCTGTTCAGTATTTGTTTCCTTCACATTTAATTTCTCATCCAACATGCTAGTAAAAAAAAAAAAGCATAAAAATATATTTTTTTTAAAAAAAGGTGCGTGTCTCTCTGAACAAAAATGCCTTTTTGACAGTGAACAGGCGACCCCCAGATTTCTACCTTCGAGCATCATGACCCACATAAACACAGCACTACGCGAAGGACAAGAACAACACGATAGTATGTCAGAGAACAAATCCAGCATATCTCCCGGGTTAGACAAAAAACAGGTACAAAACCCACCCCCAAAACAAAACAAAACCCAAGAAATGAAACCCCACACCCTCCCGCCCACCCTCTCAGCCAGCTGTAAGGGCAACGCACCCACACACACAGACAGACACGCAGTTACGGGGCGTAAGGATGAGAAGTGCCTCAAGCAGTTTCCGGGGAAACTGCACAATTTCCGGCCAAACAGATAAAAAGATACTTATGTTTAAAAAAATGTTTTAAAAAAATCAGCATCAAGTAAAAGGTTTTTTCTCCCTCCAAGTAGCTAGCGAATGTCAAGAAAAAAATGATGAAGACCCCCAAGGTTACTGTGAAATAACTCACAGTTTATAAAAAAAACCCCTCAGCTTTACCTTTGCAGTGGAAACCTACCATTAGAGCACTAAAATGCTCAGCCTGCTTGGCATTTTAACGGCTAGAAGGAGTTTTCTACAGAAATTTGGAAATCTGAAGTGAATCTTCAGATTTAACCCAGGGAATAAACTAAGTGTCTGAAGATGCTTTACAGAGCGGGTGCCAGAATTTACTCTTTTTTTCCCCAATTCATATTGGAGATGAATGTGGGCCAACAACAATATCCCTGTCTTGTTTTTACTCTCTACCACTGCTTAGAGATAAACGTTTGCACGGTGGCTTCTCCAGCTACAAAGATGCTACAGACCTGTCCTCCTCGTACCTCGCACCAACGATCCCGAGCTCTTCCAACCCTGCACATCGCTCCATCATACAGCAAAAGCGCCACATCGGCTGCCGACATTGTGATGAACCAACATTTTACATGACCAACTCGAATTACGTGTAAAACCAAAACATCTCAACCTTCTGAGAACAACATTACACGACAGACCTAATCTGTACTTGTACAGCACAACGCAACAAACCTAGAAAATGCATGCTTTGGTCTGATAGTGCACTGTATTTCCCCAAAAGTTGAAGGATAGATTTAATTTTTAGTTTATTTTTTTTAGAAAAAAAGAAAAAGTAGAACATTCTACTAAAATACCACAGATCATACGGCCAATCATAAGGCAAGATATGATTAGTTATAAAGTGAAATCTCCAGTGCTACAAGATGAAAATAAATAACTGGGAAAAAAAAGTTGGCTCCATATAATCACCTACTGGAGCTGCCTATTAAGACCATTATAAAATTACGCTAATAAAAACTGTGAACAAATAATACACAGATCAGGATATATGTATTGACTTACTAGCATCTTTATAAAAATTTGAAGATATACACAAAAACACATCAACAATTATGGAACTGTATCCATTGAACTTAGATAAGACAACACAAAAAACTAACGAATAGCTAAGATGTGGTTGACTGTAAGCACTTTGAGTAACATTTTAATTTTAAAAGGTCAATATTTACATACTACACATTAAATGCTTTTTTTTTTTCATTTTGCATCATATTTTGAATGCATGATAAAGAAAGAACAAGATAATGGTTGCAACAGATCTTCCAGGAAAGTTAAGATGCTCAGATTTAACTATGCGCTGAAAGAGAACATGGCAAGAACACGTCCGTCTACCTTTACCTCTGCTTCCTTTGGGTTTTTTTGGGAGGAGACAACACATGGATGCAAAAAGAGCTGTATCACCCAAACTGATCATTGCCAAGCGATCCACTTTTAAGTTAGGATTTGAGAACTAACGAAACACAGATGTTTTAACAAATGACTCACCTAATTGCTACTTATGCTACTGAAGTTTTTTTTAAGGTATCGGAGAGATACGGTGACAACACAGGGTGTGAGTAGGTATGTATGTATGTGTATAATAGAACACATATAGACATACATACATATAGTAAGATACCAAGGTACTGCAATAAGCAGCTAAAATCACCACCAGTGACCCGCCCAGATCCTGCCTGTGCACAAGCAATAAACTATTGCAACTGCCTTTAGTCATTAAACAGGCATTGCTTACGTTGCCTCCTACATTTACAACAGATCCGAGGCAATTTCATTTCTTTAGTCCAAAGCCACGCACTTGTCTCCAAAAAAAAAAATAAAAATCTCTTTTTAAGAAACCTCACTGAATAAAAATTCTTAAAACTTAAGTTGGCTGAACCTCAGCCTCTGTGGGATGGATTCAAAACCCAAAGCAGTAGCATCTCTACAAACATCTTTGACTTTTGAATCAAACCCATATTCTTAGGCTCCAAGAAACCCTCTAACCCCAATAACATTTGCTTCTGACAGGAGAGCTGATCAACTGCAGATGTTCCTACTGCTGAACTCAGCTGCTGGCGTTTGCATCTAACCCAGATTTCCTGACGTGCGCTATTATCACTCTACTCTGAGATGTCTTCCCATCCTTCTCCTTACAGAGCAGCTGCTCCCTAACAGTGAGATGAGTAACTGTTTAATGACTTGTTTTAGACATAAGCACTTATTACTTAGAAATAAAAATTACATAACCTGAAGAGGCAGGGAGGGGTCCTAATGCTCACGGTGCAAGGAGTTAAAGAGCACAGGGCACATCACCTCACAGGAGCCTTCAGGGTTGGCTCCCACCAGGCACTTCCTACCTGCAGCTCCTTTTCTGTCTTGGGCTTGGGTCTACCCTGAAGCACTAACAGCACTTCACGTACAGTATTTGTGCTGGATGTTATTAAGTATTATGCAGAAATGGCGAACTATACAGACGGGTATAAAACTCACTTCCATGCAAAAATTCTCATTATGTTACTGTGTCTCGTCACTAAGTTGTAAACGGGTTAGAGTATGCTTTCATTTTTTTCCCAGTGCAGTATTTCCAAAGTACCACATTATTCTGTATTACTTCAATGAGCAAAGAACAGTTTTACCTAGAAGACTTTGGACAGTATTTATTATTCAGTCACTTTTTAGTAACTTCTACTTAATTGAAAATGTGAACCAAATTAGATCTATGAACCAATTAGATCTATGTGACACTGTCACCATTAAATCTTTAAAAAAAAAACACCAAAAAACAAAGAAAATCTATGGTACTATAAACTTGCTTAGTTCATCCTTCTATGCTCGGCATGCCTGTTTTGGACCCCATTTGCAGCTGTTTACCAATAATGTTCTTCTGCGGTCACTCATGTAACGAAACTATAAGGTTTCTCTAAGTCCTCCCCCTTCAAATAATAGGTGGAGTGCTTAAGGGTATTCCTAAAAATAAAGAATGAAGCAAAAGCTCACAGTCTTAAAACTACGGAAACGTTCATAAAAACTGGAATCCAATATAAAGATGACATTTTAATAAGTTTATTCAGAAGTAACTGAAAATAACTGTTCCTTTGGCAACACCACCTAGATGGTTCTAACCAAAAGGAAATAATCCGGATTTTAGTTTGAATGAAATATAAACTGTGGTTAATGTTTGCAAGTAGCTTTTGGGAACGGCTGTGTTCACCAGCAGATTCACAGTGTCTTTATAGTCCTGTATTTATCGGGAACAACGCAACAAACCAAGTCCTTTCAGTTACGGGTTTCTTACGGGTCAGCATTAGTCACAAAATAAATTTCAAATCAAAAAAAATAGTCAAAATAAAGCAATCATGAAACACTAGCCCAAAAGAACTATTAGGAATGCTCCACTCTTCCTGTGTAATGTCTTTGAAGTGAGGCACCAAATATTTCTTTTTCCTTGTATGTGGCAACGTCATTTAAAACAGCCTAGTTCCATTTTTTGGAGTCCACTACCCCACGATGCTACTGAAGGGCAAAGATCCTTGTTTTTAAAAACGAAGGGAAAATACAGCAGTGTTATTCCTACACAGGGTTTTATGGAATAAGTGGAGTTGGAAAGAGAAGATGGAAGTCTGTGTCGGAATAGAAAAATGCAAAGACAGACTTAGGCTTATTTACAAAGATCAAAACTATAATTTTCCAGTGTCAGCTCCAAAGCTTCTCAGCATCCTGCTATTCAGTGAAGCAGAGCGCATTTAAAGCTATGCAAGAATACCTCCCGTGCTCTCAGATATACAACGTAACTAACGTGTTTTGTTTAGAAAAGTGAGTTTTCTTTCAAATACCTCACACTGAAGATAAGAGCAACCATTATCAAATATTCTTTGCTATGAAGAAAGTTTTTTAATCTTTCAACGTAAACGTTCTCTCTCAAGTCACTGTGGTCACACAGCAGGATCTTGAAGAACAGTGTCTACATGCATTGAAAGCATTTTGAGGGGAAAAAAAAAAAATCTGTAGTTCCACGTGGTTACAACAGAATGTGAACAAACTGAACAGAAATTCCATCTTCGCAGATCTTCTCAAGTTCAGCTCTTCCCGAGGACACGCTGCTGCTTTCTGTAGTTCAACAAAGCAATTAAAAGACTAAGCTGAAAGGTTTCACCACCCGATGGTTTTGCCACTGTGCCTCACGCAGCTCCACAGTACGCTTCTGCTAGTGTCAGGGGTTCTCTCAGCAGACATCACTCAACTATCAGCGCCACGTTTATGTGGGACAGATCTATCATGTGCCTGTTAAAAGTTAAAAGAAATTTAAACCTGGTACTCGAATTGATTATGGGGGTGGAGAACAGACAAGGAGGTTCTATGAAGGTCACTAACAAACAGATGCTTGATCGGATTAAAAGAAACACCGAGCAGAGGAGACTGATTTAATCTTTCGAAGGCAGAGAATGAACAGAGGCGGCAGCAGTGCTTAATTATTTACCTGTGGAATTTCTGTTGAAATGCTAAAGCATGTGCTGGCTCCTTAAATTTTGCTATGGCTTTCCGTTGTTGAGGAAGCATCTGTAAACTCTGCAGAGACAAAAAGCCAAAATATATTTTTAACAGTCACTTAAAGTTCCACTTAAAAAAATGACTGAAATTTTGCCGTATTTCTCTTTTTTCAGAAAGTTATTTATTTTCTTTTATTGGCGTTCATGGAATGCAAAGACACTTCTGAGACTGCAGTCTATATTTCATTATAATCTCCTGATGGGTAAGTATAAACAAAATTCTCTGCTTCTGCATCTCGACTGGAACTCAGCAGCATCCTCCCACATTTGGATGATTCCAGCACTTGGATGGTCAGTCTCCACGATTTCAAACTTGACCAGTAGAAACTCTGTATCATCTAGACTATTAAAAAAGCACTACATACCTTTAGACAAAAAAACCTATTCCTCGGGAAATCACATACAACCTCACAGGATGACACATTTTAAGAGTGACATACTTTGAGATCTCTCTGTGAAATAATTTTTAATCCAACTAATGTGTTCCCTGCTCATTCAATCTAAGCAAGACGTCAAATGCCTAGATGTAATTTGCTAATAAAATTGCCTACCTCTATCTTTTTTGAACAGGTAAGACTCGTGCTGATAAGATGCTTATTTAACAAGGGCCATGGCACCTGACAGTCACATTTCTTTGTATCTAAGCCTGAACGTTCAGCTACAAGCTCATTCTGTTACTTATCTGTGATTTTGATGTAATTAATTTTGGCAGTAGCTATGCAGGAAACTTCCCTCTCACCAGGAAAATCAACAGAAGTTTAATACTCCCATCACTCCTGTGATTTCAGAGTGAAAGCTGGTGAAAAGTTAGAGGATTCAGCAAACCTGATAAGCATCCATGGGTTAGTGTGCACTGCATAATTTTTGGAAAGCTGCTGTGATGGAAATGAATAGCTAAGTCACTGCAACGTCACATTCTTGTGACGCCACTGTTCTGACTAGCAAAGAACTAAGGACTAAGTCAGTTCTATCACTAAGGACTAAGTTTTGAAGACTATGAATTACTCACAGCTTTTAGGTAAGATTTAGGGAAAAGAGACTTGTAAGAGTTGAAACTATTGTAATTAAAGGAAGAGAAGTAAATCTGAACTCTTAATATGAGGAAAAACCTGTTTGAATCAATGAAAGGACAAGTATTTCAGAGAAGAGTCACACAAGAGGAGCTGGAAAGAACCCAGGGATGCAGCCCTTCAGCTGTACCCTGCACATCCTGCTGTCAGCTGCTCCTTTCCCCTCTCCTGATCCATCTCCTGCCGACAACCGATCCTCACGACAACGTCAGTTCTCAACTGCCACAAGAGATCCTCCCAATCCTTCACGCTCCAGATCCCTGTTGTGATCAACTGGAGAAGCTGCAGTTAGCGACTTTTTCCACAGTCACTGAGCTATTATTGCATTAATATTGTTGAGATGCACAAAAGCAAAATCTGATTTTGCAGTTTATACACCCATGAGGATAAATTATTCGGAAGATGCTCAGCAATAATTAGCAGATAAAACGCGACTAAAGGAAGACATTCTGGTATAGTGCAGACTTATCAGTGAAATTAGGCAAGCTATCTAGAAACTATTATAGACAATTTATTTACACTTTCATATGAATTAATAAACTTTATAGAGTGTCTAGTTTAGGTATTATGTCACAGCTTGTTCTTATGTTGCATTACTGTCTTAATTTCTAAAGCAAAAAACACAATCAAAACACTAAATGAATTTTTATTTTAATACTCAGCTGATCTGGCAACAAGGCATCAATTCTTGAAAAAACCTATTGACAAGCATCTTTATCAGATTTAATTCCTCTTGTTAAAACAAAGAACTGTGGAAACAGAAAACCAACTCATCTGATCTTTTGCTGAACTGCCTGAACACCACCCATTACATAGCCTAGCTATAAGGCAGTAACTTCTAGCATCAGGGTCTTTTCAACAACTGCAGTTACATGGGCCTATGCTTTAACAGGAGAATTAAGGACTGAAAAACGAAAACGATAAACTAAGTCTGCACAAAACAACGCTTTTTCAGTTGGGAACTGTCAGAAAAAAATAATTAAAATGTTTTTCATACAAATCCTCTGCCTCCGCTGTGATCAAACTATGGTAGTGAAAATGATGCAAAATCACTTCATGTCTGTTCAAGTATATTAGGTATATACACGTATTTAGGTATTAAACAAAGCTCTGGTTTTAACAAGAAAAAAGACAATTACTAATCTAAGTTACTTTGCTGATACGACTGCCATAGCCTGAAATATCAACATAAGTATCTTCGCCGAGAAAGATTTTTAATAACTCAACATAAATCATGACCTACATTGTGTTTTCAAACAAATCATTATTCACCCTGCTAACAAAGATCTCTTGAAAATCTACGTTCTGATTTTGGGACAATATCTCCTTACTTGCATTACTATTTAAACTCTGAATTTTATGCTTAACAACGTTGATTATCGGGCATAGTACAAGTAGGTAAAATTGTGCCCGAGCTGCTGCTATCCCCCCCTGAGCAGCCAGGCTATTGGTCAGGCATACAAACGAGTGTCCCACCTCAGTGGGAACCTGAAGTAAAACAACTTCATACTCATCCTACAGCATTATTTCTGCCTCCTTGAATTCAGGATGATATGCAGTTTAGAGCTGATCCTGCATTTAGATGATGTTAACAGCAACAGACTGAAGAAAACACTTTTTTGGGGGTGGGTGTGGGTGTGTGTAGTCTGAGCTACATTTGTGTAGCACAAAATGTTGTTCAGGTCATTATCTTAAAGATGTACTTCACCAGTGTCTGCTTTTGTTGATTCCAAATACATGTGCCAGGAAAACTAATTAATTTTGCATATCATAATCATGCTACCTTGCTAAGTGCTAACACACTTAGGTTTTTCCACCTTTTTTTTTGAATAATTTGGCAGCCTTTTTTTTCAGTGATAACATTCAGTACTTCTAGCATCCACAACATTTTCAGATAGTTTGAGTGCCTGCACATTGACTACAAGTTGATCTTGAAATAAGCTCCTTAGAAAGCTGTTATTTATCATCATGCTTTCACTAATTAGACTATGCAGGGTATCAGCCAGCTTTCTGGTAAAGAATGTTCTAATGCAAAATGATTAGTACCACTGTCTAACGTATTCCATTAATGTAAAAACCCACACATGTGCAACCGTTCAGCTTTCATTTTTAAAGTAAAGCCTGAAGTATTGCATTAGCTATCACAGATCTTGCTTGAAAACAGATGCTCATCTATAATGTTTTCGGTATAATTTTATTTCCCCACAACATATCTAACTTGCATTTCCAAAACAATACTGTATATTAAGATAGATTTAAACTTCTATCATTCGTTTTCATGCTGCCTAACTACTTCTGGAGAAGATGTTATAAAAAGTTGAACAAAAGTTTCACTGAACAAAAGCTCTATATAACCAAATCAACTAATCCGGTATTTGTACATTTTTATCTACAGACTTTGTTTACTTTTGAAGTTAATGACATTTATTTGAAGTTACAACATGTTCAGAGACAAGGTTTTTTTTCGGTTAGTATCTACTATCATGAACAGAAGTTACATGACTTTAAAGGAAGCAGTTAAGTCTTATTTTGCACTACTGACCTCAATGGCTCCTAAAACTTCCACGTGAAGCATGAGATTATGATCTCTCTCCTACAAATTACTGTATGAGAAGCCTTGCAGTAAAAGCTAACTATAACAGTAAGAGCCTGGGAAGATCCCTGTCAGTAAGGCGAGAAAAGATAGAGATCCAAGAGGGAAAAAGAAAACAAAACAAAGAAAAAGAAGGAAAAAATAAGAAAAGAAATCCCCAGTGTGTGATAATTAGTAGGAAACACAAAAACTTCTAATCCTTAAGAGCTTTTAGAGTTGTTTCTCTCACATACTTTCACTGGTGTCTCTGGCTGCAATTGCTGATGCACAGGTGGTTTTTTTCCCTCCTTTTTAAATCTGTTACCCCAGAAGCGCTGCCACCGTTGCTGATGGGCTCAGCCTTGGCCAGTGGTGGGTCCTTGCAACACAAATCCAATACACATTTCTGAACAAGTAATTCCACATGTGATGTTTTCAGACCTGAGGTGGTATCACAAAGAAGCTAAGAGCATCAGACAGGTCTCCATATAGCACTAATGGCAGCTGCTCTCTTATTCCCAAAGAACACAATACTAAAGTAATCCTTAAGTTTACGGTCTTCGTATAGTGATAAAAATGAGTCTATGAAACCCAAAGCATCATGCTTCATTAGGAATTTGATCTGAATTTAGTGCTGTTCTCTAAACTACTGATTTTGAAAGCCCAGTGGGGGCAGGCGGGGAATGACTGGCCACGCAGCACTGCTGCTGGAGACGGGCTGGTTCTAGGAAGCATCGCTTGACTTCCCATGGAATGGGAGGACACTCTTGCTTCCTCCACAGGAGATTTCCCCTTTGCCACACCGTGCTCCACTAGAATCTCCCTCTACCATGAATTCCTAAACTGAAGTATCACAACCCTCACAAATGTCAGAGCTCTAAGAAAACTTCATTCACTTCTCTTTCAGTTGACCTAGTCAGATGTTCAGCAGAGGATGAAAACCCCTTCCCAGATCCACTCAGGTGTGAAGGACTGACAATACATACAATAACCTCCAAGGGATTTCAAACGACTCATTACTTTATGGATTCGGGAGTGCAGCTCTACTGTACAGCACTTCCCCAGACCAATCTGAGGTCAAGAGGTATTCTGGGCATGTTCCCCTTTGACTCTGGAGAACAGCGATTACGTTCTGGCATATTCCCAGCATAAAAAAAATAATAAAAGAACCACCTGGTTTAGGCTGAGGAGGAGTATCTTATATGGAAAGGATTTAGGCAGCACTGATCTTGATTATCTCCCTTTTCTGCTTTCTTAGGCACTGTCATGGGAAGATGCAGATCTTGTGTTGAATGGAAAATGCAACAAAACCAATATTTCATTGACCACTCATGCTTTTGATCAAGAGTTTGCCTACAAACTGTTTTAAAACACACT